TAGACTTTTGGAGTAAAATTCAGTAAGTCCTAGCTAGAATTTTTCTGAAAATTTCATAAAACTTTATAAAAAAACTAGATGTATTTAGATATTAACAACAAATATTTAGATTTAAAACCTTGGAAACCGTGTCCGAGGGTTTCGTGGCAATGTTTAGTTTGCAGAAATGACCGCCAGCCTAGAATTTCGGAATGGTTCCCTTCTAACTCAAACCGGGAATTTTAATGAGCTTCAAGTTTTAAATTGAAAAGTCAGTTTGGGAGTTTCTTCATTGATTGTTGGAGAAGAGAACTTGGGGTGAAAAGCTTTTGAGGATTTTCGTCATGGAGATAAATGTATGGAGAGAAGATGGCTCACAGTTGGAGATCAGTAGGTATATCTCAAGGCCGGCTCACGTTCCGCACAGTCATACTAAATTCATGATTTGAACGATAGTCGTAATTGTGATTAAATAAACATCTCACAAGAAGAACATTCTTCAAGAAAATTATGAGGTTGAGTTCTATATATTGAAATATAATGAGGTTGTGGAATAACTGTGCGTTTATGAACATTACTGATTTGGCCTCATATCCTGTCCATTCTCTTCTTGTATATTCATTTATAGACTGAAGAAAAAGTGATAATTCACTAGTAAATTTGATTCCTTCAAGAAAATTCTACTCAGTCCGTTCCATTTCCTCTCTGTTAAAAACATCTGTATGCGCTACATACACTCATATAAATGTATGGGTCATATTGTCCAAATAGTAACACTTGCTGCGTATAGCACTGATAGGTCCTTAGGGTACGCACACAGTGAAGGCAGGTTGCCAGCGTGCCGGTTACCTGCTCAGGCTGGCGCCTGAAACCATAGAATACAGAAGCCTATCCGTACAGGTTTTCACTATGAACACCTACATTATTATCATATGTTCATTCTCGTGGCAGGTTGGAGCAGGTTGCCCGCACGGGCAAACCTGCTTCCACTGTGTGCTTACCCCATGGTTTCAGGCGCCAGCCTGAGCAGGTAAAAAGCACGCTGGCAACCTGCTTTCACTGTGTGCGTACCCTTATTCTATGCCAAACTGGGTCAAGTTGATCCAAATAAGAGGAAAAGTTCACCGTTATTTGGACAAAGTCGAATGAGTTTTTCTTGAGCGTACGCAACTTAATTAACACCGATTTATGGCATTGGAATTTTTTGCACTCACTTTTTTTGCACGCACTTCACTAATACTTTTTATAACAGTGCTTGTTCGAGTTCTAATCAAATTGAGCGATGCATATTCTCTGAACATCTATTTTAATAAATTTGAACTGAAGCCTATTTCTGTGTTTGAATTCTGAAGGAATTACTTAAGCTCAAGCTTGACGAGTCAATAAAATGCTCACTTAGTTGTCCTGTGAATTCCAGCTCGAAGAATGCTTATTTCGAGCTATCAAATTCAATCATCAAAAACCTCTTTGTGTTTGCAGAATTTTTAGTTTATCGTGAATTTAAATTTTATGAATATCATTGGCAAGAAAAAATAATTTTAAACATCCCTAGGGATCGTTATCACTAATGGTAGAACAATCATGCACAAATTTCAACTGAGGGCACTCATGATTAGATCTTCCAATCAAACTTGACGGTCTCAAAAAATTACAGTTTCGACGACATATCTAGACCATGACACGTCAAATCTGCGACAGTAATTCATAGCCATGATTTCAGACGGCAACCCAGAGAGCAAACATAATATTGGATCGAGGGAATTGTGTCCATGAAACTACAATGGAAATGTTAACGACAACGGAACTAGAAACGTGATGAGCGCTCGACTGGCGGTGTTCAAATTATTAATATATGCTGTAGAAGTACTAGATTGAATTCGGACAACTCATAACAAAGGTGGATTATCTAATATGCATTGAAGAAGAGGAAGCTTCTTCACTTAATCCAAAGGTAACAGAGATGGGCAGGGTGATCAATGAATACTAGATGTTCAGAACAAAAAAAGCGTTGCTAAATAAGGAAATCACTGTTAATGTATGGAAATCTAGAAATAAATCACATTGAAAATTGTATTTAATTACTCCGATGAAATAACAGCTTCTTGCACGACAAACGACTTTAAATATTTTTTATTGTAGCTGATTTCTTCTAATATTTGCGGGTTCCTAGCAGCCCTTGTGTTTTTGTTTTCGCATTAAGCCATCGATAATTTTTTCATTCCAAAAATTTCAATGTTCTCATGCCAATTCTTTTTCCGAGCCTTTTTAGTTCTTCAATTTAGAAAGTAATTCTAAGTACTTCTAACAAATTTGACATTCGTTAAAAATTAAAATATTGATTATTTTTTGGAGAATTTTTATTTAACAGAATTTCGAATGTTGATGCTTGCATTCCTGTTGTAGGTTCGCGATATTCAAAAGAAACCTTTCAATATTAAACAAGTGTGAACATTGCCAATCTTAACATTCTTTTCTTTTTATATATGTTGAATTGGATTAAAAACTGAATAATAGATTGTCAGGAAATTGAATTCCATTTCATAGTCCCATAAGATGTGGACTGCAATAGTGATGCAAATACGTTGGACCGTACCAGAATTGGAGCATTGAGTTGCAGGTTCGATCCCAGCTTTTATTGACAGTACTGGCCAAAATTGGAGAGGTGGCCGAGCGGCTAAACACAGTGGATATTGTAGGAGTAAGTTGCGTGTTCTAGACCTGCAATAAGCTGTGAAATAGTTCTGCTACGGTTAGAATCGGCGATATTTGAGCAATAATTTTGGCGATTAAAATCGGTAATACCCATATTTCAGCAAAAAATATGGAAATTCCTAATGTTTATACCTGAATGAAGTTTTGTGGCCTGAAAATCTGTTGAATGGCAACGACCATGAGGAGTTTCTCGAGGGCTGAATATATCTTTTGTTCCCTATAGCCCTCAATGTTCAATTTTATTTCCAATCGAATTACTGAGCTTGTATGTTTTCTTAAATATTCGTCAGAAGATATCAATAGACCGTGCAATATAGGGCGGTTATTGCTGGTAACGTTGCTCAGGACTAACGTGACCCGTTCATAAGTAAAGTTATAACGCTCTTCATAATCATAAGTTACAAGTTATCATAATACGTTTGTTATTAAGTTATCATAAGTTATCATTGATCATAAGTTAAAACGCTCTTCAGCGTTATAACTAAAAACCACTATGCTCCCGATTCAACTCCAACGAATCACTGGCACCATGCCCTGTATTCTTGACTGGAATTTAGCACCGTTACTGCGACAAGCAATTCAAACAAATTTATACGTAATTATGCTCTTATGGTGTCCCTCAATTTGGGCAATACCATTGTTTTGTACCAAAATAAGGTAAAAAAAGAATGAATATGGTTATGGAGGTTTCACAAGATTATGTTAAATGTACGTTAATCACGTTTAAATGTTTGTTATATTACGAAACGTGTTAAAAATTTTCTCTTATGGATGCGTTGGAGATATGCTATATAATAACAGAATAACTAGAATATATACGCTGTCACAACATGAGATTCTGAAGGAGAAGCTCGGGGATAAAACAGCATCCGAACTTCCTGGCGGTCCGGAAATTACGGAAGCAGAGCGATTCATCTCTGAGTTCTGCTAGTGTACAGTGAACATCTAATAAGATTTCCTGCAGAACCACTGCTCACTTCGTGGAGAAATGATGAATTATTATCTGTCCAATCCAGAGTTCGATGCAAAAAAGCTTCTCGAAGAGAGAGAAATTGATAGAATTGAAAATGGTTAGAAAATGAAAAACAGAAATGAATAGAAATTGATGGAATTTGAAAATGTTTTCAAGTCGTGCTGGTTATTGAAACTTACAATATATATTGAAGTTAGAGGCAAATAAAAGCCAAGGGCATGTTAAAAGAGTCATACGAAGGTTGCCTGACGGAAACTGAAGATTTCGATCATTGTTTCTCAACTTCAATTAAGTCACTGATTCAAAAAATCAAATCCTATGATATTTATATCATATCTCAAGCCTGTGACATAATTTTATCACTCATTTTTGTACAAAATACCATCTCGGAATGCTCAAATCGAATTTAGTTTCGTGTTACTCATCACTTGTGGTCTAAATATAATAAACTAGCGTACATAATCGTAGATAAACATATTCAATTGTAATTTGTTGTCTAAAAATGAACAAGTTATAAATAAAAACAAATTCCAATGATATTATAAAAAATAAACAAAATAAACCAATCACCCTAACAAAACCTAGCCATTATAGTGTATACGGAGGTTACCAAGGGCAACACAGGTCATAGTTACTGACCTCGCTATGACACGTCGACGGGGCAGTGCGGCGCTAACAGCGTTCCATAGAGCACAATGTGTGCCGCACAGTTGTCCGTAAAATACATTTGTTTAGAATTTCAAAATTCACAACAGGGGAATAGTGTTTACTTTTGGTTTAATCATTTTGAAACATTACGTAACATCCGGTAATATCAGCTGAGATTTTACTAACTCTAAATATTTTCTGGAGTTTGCCTTTTCCCAAATATTGTAATGCATTCGGATTTAATGTACGTACAAAAATCGCGAATAAACCTACAGGAGTTGACTTCTGTTTAATACCGAAATTTCGAATTGAAGAAATAAATTGTCGATTTTCTGACTCTTTGAATTGGAGGATATATATATCTATATATCTCTTAAATGTTGGATTTCGTTGTTTCTATAGGATGATTAGAAATTGAAATATATTTACAGTTATTGTGCAGGTTATTGACTTATGTTTATAAATGATATTTTATCAAAAAAAGATACTGTGGCATTAATTTTCCACGCTATTTTCAATTTTTTAAGGATTATGTTATTGCTGATATTATATTGGTATTTTATTTAATGCTAATTCAATGTAACATACGTTATTCAATAATTAAAGTTCGAAAGATTTAATGTCCAATTTTAAACGAAATATTCAATGAACTATTTCTTCAGGACAAAATTTGCCGTCGATTAAAAAATTAAAGTTGATTAGTATAGAAAAAATGCCTTTGAAGCTCGGTGTCCGACTGAAAAATAATCAATCTGAGCTCGGGTCCAAGCTTTCGTTCCCTGGCAAAGGCCACAAAGTCTCCGACTCTCCCCCGACTCCGGACCCACCAACAATTTCTGTCCCCCGGAGTCTTAAGCCACAGCAGGATCAACAAATCCCTTCGCCAGAAATTCCTGGTCCAGCAGCCCCATTTGAGGGTTTCGCTAATCCAGGAACCGCATTGTGTCCTCCCAAGGGTGAGTAAATATGAATATCTATAATAAATATCTATAGATAAACAGATGCTTAATTTTAAAAAGTATCATTTATATAAAAAATAAAATTATATAAAAAATAAAAAATAATAATAAAAATGAATATCTATAATAAATATCTATAGATAAACTGATGCCTAATTAAAAAATTACCATTTATATAAAAAACGTCCATATAATTTTGCTCGTAAATTTCTGTATCATTGTTCACAAAGTGTATAAACGATAAACAAACAAAGTGTACTAACGAAAAGTTTTTTAATATTTATTTATTTATTATTACAGAGGTTGATATGATTGATTTTTTGAGCTCGTTTACAGATCGGCGCTCACTTCTTCTACCACTGAGTTGAAATGGCATGCTGTTGATTGACTATTAAGACGTTGAGATGGCGACTATTGAGATGGCGTATTTCTCTAAATTGATATTAGTGCCTAAAATGGTAGTTTTTCTGCAGAAATGTGGTGATCCGTCCTATTGTATTGGGGCTAACTTTTGCATGAGTTTTGGCCTTCCTTAGCTTAAGGTATTATAAATCGGATTGACAGGGTTGTAGTTACCGTTAAAGTTCACAAAATGTTGGTAATGTTAATAAGGGAATATACATCGTTGATACACTTCTACTCTACTTTACAAAGAATTAGATATCTGAGGAAAAAATGATTCTTTGGCGCTTTTAGTGTAGCTGCTATTTTATGATTAAACGTGTCATTACTTATGTCTAAAAATTAGTAAAACATTATTTTTGTAAATTCTGTATTATAAACTGCATTTGACTTTGATATGTTCTGTCGTACTCTGTATTGATTTCACTGAAGGTCTTTTTTCTAGATTTGGATATTCTGAAGCCTTTTTTTTCCTTGATATTTTTTGCAACTCGATTCTGGAACATGCAATTGAGATTTTTTGCTACATATATCCTTAGAAAAAATTCAATTGCAAAATATACTTTACTATTTATGCGGAACTGGTGATTTAATATTGATGCTCCAAAATTCAACTGTCGCCAACGTTTAATAAGTCATTCAACGTGAAACATAATAACAATGAAAAGTTAAAAATAATTACACTTCAAATCATTAAAAATAGTTTGAATTATAGATAGATTTTAGACGATATTTTCGACAATTTTATATGATAAGCAATGTATTTTATGCCTACTATTTCGAGTTAAATTGCTGTTATAAATAATTAAAAATAGTTGAATTATAGATAGATTTTAGACGATATTTTCGACAATTTTATACTATAAGCCATGTATCTCATTAATATTACTTCGAGTTAAATTGCTGTTTATAAATAATTAAAAATAGTTTAAATTATGGCTAGATTTAAGACGATATTTTCGACAATTTTATACTATAAGCCATGTATCTCATGGCTACTATTTCGAGTTAAATTATCTGTTTACATTTTAATTACTTCGCACAGAGTCTCCGACATCATCGACTCGCTCCAGCCCTGACAGATCAGGCCATGGCACCGCACGCATCAACATGACGCCGCCCCCCCCTCCCCGCTGATGAGTGCATCCCCCTCCTACCCTCGGAAGGTAACCCCTCCCTACCCCTCCCTTTTGTCAAAAGATAAATTAAATGAATTCTCTTGAGATTGTTTTGATACACATTCCATTAAACTTATCATAATTTATTTGGTGAACTATTTAAATCGGATTTTGTTCAATAAGATTTTCAATCTAATCTCGACATAACTGGTTATTAAGAATTCATTTTATTCACGAAAAGGAAGAGAAATTCAAGAATATTTATATGTTCTCAGCAATTTTATTGAAATTCGTAATGTATATATCCAATCGTATTAATTCATTAATATGAATTTCCATTTACTGCTTCGTATAATTAAAAAATGAATAATATACATTAAAAAATTACTTTTTATAGACAACACTTCTAAATAATCTAGTGTCTCCAGTGTTATAGATGTACAATGAATTTCTCATTTTATTTTCGAATAATAAAAAAGTTAATTTTCCATTTTTTAATATATACAATTATTTATTCTGCCAATTGATTCATGCATTGCCTCCGACTTCACAAAAGTGTGCAAAATTTCAGATCAATTGGACAGGTAAAACTGTGTTAAATAACAATTATAAGATTTGTAGCTGACAAAATAATTTTTAAATTTTTTTAACATTGGAAAAAAAATTTATTACTAAAATTATTTATTTTGACATTTGATTCATGCATTGTCTCCAACTTTACACAAGTGGGCAAAATTTCAGATCGATAGGATAAGTAGAAGTGTGCTAAATTTCGATTACAAGATTTGTAGCAGACAAACAAACAAACAAACAACAAGAAGTGAAGTTAAAGAGAAGTGTTGTATGAAGTGTTGTAAAAATATTTATTTCTTACTTATTACTAAGAACATTTTATTCTGCCTGAAGTCAAATAGCTCCAAAGTGATTAAATCTACATATAATATCTGTCATAATATATGTGCTATAAGTACAATTGTTAAATGAATAATAAAAATGTCAAATGGATAAATAGGAATATCAGCTATGCTTAATTGATGCAGGTTTAATTTCAGTGAAAATTGATTATCAACAAAAATAAACGGTAACGCTAATTTTTAGTCTTTCTCATATGCTGAAATTATCAATAAAAATCCAACAATTGATAATATCAACAGAAAGACGTGGTTTTGTGTATTATATTTGTTGTATATGACTCTAAAATATAGTTTTTTATTAAAAAGCAGTGAATGTAAACTGAAGGTACGGTAAAAGATCGATATAATATTGAGTTGTTGTACAAAGGAGCGCGATCGCGACGCACGAACTTGCCCCGCTACGAGCCGACCGACTGGGACGACGCGCTGCCTTACGGCGGCAAGGTATACCTGGCGCGCAAGAAAAAACCTGACTCGTGGCCTTGCATCGCTCTACAGGTGATCTTTTTTATTTCTTCCGTCATGGTACGAATAAAATTAATATCACAACTTATCAACTTCAATCATTGATATAACATTAAATCAATACGTGATCAGTAATATAATACATAGCAAACTTGTTCGATTTTCATTTCAACTGTGATCAATAACATAATACATAGCATGCTTGTTCGATTCTTATTTCAACTGTGATCAATAATATAAATTTTATAGCATAAAAAAGGAGATGAATGATTGGAATATCGTGGCAAATAAAATATTGAAGTAAACGCATTGCAGACCTAATAATATCAGGTAATATGCAAATAAGATTGTTTAAATGAAAAAATTATTCACACATCGATGCAAATGAGATAAAAACCAATGCGTGCTTAAATCAGAACTTAGTTCCAAGCCATGCATTCATTGATGACATAGGATTATCATAAATAATTTAGGCAATGCCATGCAGCATGGAAATGCAACGAGATACTTTTACCTCGCTATTGAAGCAATGTTAGGCCAGCCTGTAATGCAGCTGCTCGGCATTCCTTCCGGAATCACTGACGAATTTACTGCGGTTGATTATAGGTTATTTAGGGTCATTCGCTCATGTGTCTATAATTTCCGAAAGAGATGTCGAGGTTAAAATTTTTTGACTAGGCTTACAATCTGCCTCACAAAGCCTTAATAGAGACCCAGAGAAAAGCCACCACTGTGGGAACTAAGCCTGATTAAACAGACTATTTCAATGGCATGACTTCGTTATTCCTTTGCGTGTTTACAAAGCTTTCAACAAATTTCGTTCTGAGTAATGGCACACAGACGTCAGCTCTGTAATGTAATCTGAACCCTTGGACTCCACAAAATTTCCATCCTTGATATTTACAATTGCACAGATATTTTATTTGAAGACAAATTTTTTATTTCTGAGCCAAAAAGCTGGATGGTGGTGTTTTATTGCCGACGGTTTGTTTGTTCATGAAATATGTTTGTCGGAAGTCTTCTGTCTCTTCAGTCTTTCCACTGATTAGTAATCCATTCAATATAAATTGGTGCACGATTCATTAGCTTTGTGTAGACATAGTAGGTACTTGTACCTTTCACGCTTCTGATTGCACACCTTTAATTGCAGTGTACCTCACAACTGTTGATTTCGCCGCAGGCCACAACACAAACGAGAAACAATGCGCGACTCAAAATCTTAAATAAATCACTTCATCTCATCTCCTGAGTAGCATCAACAGCAACGTCCCGAAAAATTCTCTGATATCCATGGGCAAGAAAAACTACACAGGAAACCGTCGTTATTGCGAGACGTAGTAGAAACGAGGCAATCCGTCTCAGCTGAGCGCGGCAATTCCACGTCCGTGATTGCGTGGTGTTTTTCCAGCCCATGGCTGACCTCCCGAGACTTGGCTTCTTCCGCTGATGAGGTTACGCTCACGAGTCTGAGCGCCGTGTAAAGTTATAAAGCAGCAACAGATGTTCAGCGATGATTACTATCAATCCAACTTTTATATAATTTTTTTCTTGGGCATTTTTGTAGGTTCTTATGGCTCTTATGCACACGTGCTTATCAAGCGTCTGCCACGGAGGTCTCAAGTTCAATCTTGTTAAGAGGCAATGCTGAATTTTAATCTCACTCAGCAAGGTTCAATTTTGATTGAATGAAGAAGAGACTGAGTTTGTCTCAAAAAGCCCGTTTCTGCAAGGGCTTCTACAATTTCGAACGAATGACATGGCGAAAATTTACTAGTGTTTAAATTCAATATTTTAATTTTGCTGTAGGTGACGTTGGTACTCTTCGCAGTGGGCATGATGTACTACGGTTGGTATCACACTGAGCATCTCCACTTCCACGCCACAAAACTCTATGGACATTATATACGGTCACCCCGTCGCACAAGCCATGACAGCTGAAAAGTATCTTCATGGTGAGTTTAGTGTTCGGTTTTCAACCCCTAAAAATGATTTATTATCATATATCAAGGACAACATAATTTCAGTTTTCTATTAAATCATACTAATATATCTTTGTAGATTGAAGTATTACATAGTCTTGTCTTACCGTAAAAAATTTATGGGAGCACTGCATGGGGACTAAATATTTTACTGGTAAGGTATAGACTATATAGACTATATATAGGCTGACATTCTGAAAATATTAAGAATATTGAATAAATCAAATCGACTTAACAGCTACATTTTGAGGCTCTCATATGAATAATATATAAGCCACTATTAATATCAACCAAGAATTGGCCTATGGAGGAGAATATCACTCTGCCTAGGTAGCGAATGAGACATGGCAGAGGAGAGACGAGATCTAATGTGACCCTCTCAGCACCTGATCTAAGTCCATTAGCATGACTCCTTCGGGAGCAAGAAGAGGTCACATCAACCTAGAACTAATTGATAATTTAAAATGAGAACAGAATTAATCCTTAAGACCTATGGTCAAACAGATGTAATTTATCTATTTTATTGTAGTTATCGTCAACCTCTCCTGGAGCAATGCTTGGTGACGATCGAGTTAAAAATCCTTAAAACACATTGGGCAGAAAGTAATTCTAGAAGGCCAAGGAGGAACTATACCTTCACTCGTGTGGTTCTATTAATCTGTTTAAATTAATTTAATTGAGTTTGCGTATTAAAGTTTAAAAAAGGGGAGTTTTATTTGCAAGGAAGACGGGAAGGCTTGCCTCTCTATCATGATGCATCCATCGAGCATCCCTGTGATATGAAGGCTTTCGGAATTTCAAGTAATTTTGGGATTTGAGAATCTCTGGGAAACTAAGAAGTCAAAGAACACGATTCAAGGTTTTAGCAACGAAAACAAGCATTGAAAATTAAATGTCGATAACAAAGATAAGATTCCCTCAATTTGGATCATAAACCTACCTGAGAAATCTGCAGCAAATTAACAAAAATTGTACACACTTTTTTTCAAATTTTTGGTTGAAAATTCTTGTCATAATTTTAATAGAATAATACTAAATCGAAGGAAAAATTAAAATAATGTACTGAAATTGCATGACACACGATAACCCTGCCATAATCATCGCACTACTTGGCTGACGATAAATCACTAATGGCCGTCTGATTTCTATGGCAAAAATTATCGACCCCCCAGTAAAATTAAATCAATCACCCATCAAATAAAAAATAACGATCAAACCGAATGTCCACTAATGACCGTAAAATTAATATAGCTTTTATTATTGAAATCGCAATAATGACCATAAAATTAAAAGATCGATAATAAGTGAAAGCCCAATAATGTCAATCAGATAATAAAAACTCTAATAACCTAAGCCCACTAATGAAATCACATTTAAATGATAACTATGACAAGTCTCTCATGGATAACTACCAAACTGAAACAACTGTTTTATCCGAAATAACATCAATGATCAGTAAATTAGAATAACGATAATTACCGTATACATCAATTACAATAACCATCAAATTACGAATACAATAACAGTGTTCTTGAATATATCCTCACCAATAAAGACCGTTAAAAAGTATGACTAAATTACAATGGAAACCATGGCCGTGCAGGCAAGGGGGTGGAGAAAAACCATACGCTCGCGATGGAGTGGTACAAGAAGGCGGCGCGGCAGGGGCACCCGCATGCCTCCTATAACCTGGCGGTGGGGCGTCTTCAGGGTATGGACGTGGGGCTCAAGCCAGGGTATGTTAATAGTGGATCAGTGTCCATACTTACATCATTTTTACATCGTATTGGTCAAAACCAGGGTCTACATGTAATACAGGTTCAAGAGAGGGTCTACGCGAAATTTAATTCAAGTATTATAATTGTATATTAGGAGTTAAAGCCAAAATCTAATTCCCAATTTAATAATAGTTTTACATGTAACTTTTCAAGACAGGGTAATTGTACGTCCTTATTTTATTTACATTTGAACGAAATTTTAAAGGGCTCAAGCCAGGGTATGTTAATAAAGCCCATACTTTCAAAAAAAGTTAAGAGATCGTAAGTACATCTGCCAATCATTGACGGCCTTTCAAGCAAATCCACCAATCATAGACAAGAAAGTAGAGCGTAAGTACTTACGTTCATTTAGCGAGTTTTGAAAGTATGGCCCCAGGTAGCTCCATTGCTTGATCCCGTAACATATGAAGCTGAAGGTATGTTAAGACAATGACTTTGGTTTTAACAAATAACCTATAAAGGTAGTATTAAGCCGTGGTACAGACCTAGGCCAATACCTTCAAAAAAAGTTAAGAGATCGTAAGTTCATCAGCCAATCGTTGACGACCTTTCAAGCAAAATCCACCAATCATAGACAAGAAAATAGAGCGTAAGTACTTAGGTTCACTTATCGAGTTTTGAAAGTATGGCCCCTAGACTTATGCATCTTATAAACCTGTATATAGGTCCGTATCTTATTTAAATTTCACAAGAGTGAGTTGAGCCTGGCTGCACCACAAAGTAATGTCATTTTATATCGTATTTGTTAAAACCAGGTTTCACCTTTAGAATTTAATTTAATTTTATTGAAAACAGGTTCAAGCGAGGGTCTGCGCGAAATTTAATTCAAGTATTATAATAGAATATAAGGAGTTACAGCCAAAATCTAATTCTCAATTTAATAAAAGTTTTAAATGTAACTTTTCAAGACAGGGTAATTGAATTTCCTTATTGTATTTAAATATTGAACTAAATTTTAAAAGGTTCAAACCAGAACTTTGCCCTAATATGATTAGGCACGTCGTCCAATTATTGAAATAAATACATATTGCAGTAGGTTCTTCACTATCATATATTGTAAATTTCAATTACACGAATTAAAATTAAAATATGGCTTTAAAAAAAATTGTATTCTCTTGTTTTAGAGAGGCGCACGAGTTGATCAAGCATGCGGCAGCCCAGGGTGTTATTGAAGCTGCTGATGTGTTGCTCAAAGCCT